TATTAGTAGTAGTAGTAGTAGTAGTAGGAGAAGTAGTAGTAGTAGTAGTAGTAGTAGTAGTAGTAGTAGTAGTAGTGGTGGTGGTGGTGGTGGTGGGGGTGGTGGTGGTGGTGGTGGTGCTAAAACACAGGCAAGTCAAAATTATAAAAGCATTGACTGGTATTATATAACGGATACAAGTTTTAACAAAAAAAACCCTAATTATATGTTAAACTAGGTGCCATTAGCACACTGCTGCACTATATGACAAATCTCTAGATGGATTAATGTACAAGTTCAGTATACAAGGACAAGAGATAAACTATTCGACACCCTTAAGCCAGAGGCTATGGGATGATGCAGCAGCCTCCCAACACTTCCTTCTGAAATACATCTTTCCAGAGTGCAATGGATCTGCTACAAACTCCCAAGGTGATCCAGAATAATACTATAGCTAATGGTGTCATAGGTGCTCCAGAAGAACCAAGGTGGGCAACTATCCCTCTCCATTTCCTGATTGTCCATTAATATGGCCAAAGCAATCTCAGTTCCAAAAACTTAATTAGAACCAGCAAGGAGCAAATAGATAAAGCTGCCTTATTCTCCTCAGCACACCTGCCGGGGTCTTATATTCTACATATTCTATGAATGACATTCAGTCTAGTTCTGTTCAGTCATTTGAAGGGATCAACATTAGAGGTTAGCTAAATGCTCTGTGTGGTACCAGTCACAACCATCATTAGCCTAGGAAGAGCACTGGAAGGGTTCTACCATTAAAATGTAGCCTAAACACAGACATTTTGAAAGATCATGTAAAAAATGTATCACCAAGAGAGGAACGCTGATAACTGTGGCAGCCACCACCAGATCAATGCCATGAGTTTGATCTTGTAGCATCATTCTAGGAACATGGGAATGTGATTTTGTATGGACCACTACCAGGCTTCTCTTTTGGCAGCAGTAATGGTTTCTATCTACTCTCACCCTCCTAAATTTGTCCTTCTGCCCACACTATACAGTATGCCAAGATGTCCCCTAGAATTCCTTATTCAGACGAGGCACAATAACTGAGAGGGTAATTTTGGCTTGGCCTTCGACAACACTCCTAAAACCAAGAAAATTGGGCCTTTCTGATCAGCAAAAAGTGAATGTAAATGGACAAAAGGATGAGATCATGAGCAGTGTGAAGATCTCCCTCTTCTCTCTCCCCACCACCCACCCCATTCCCACTGCGTCCACTAGATGTCAGGGTTATCAAATGAAGATGACTGGCATCAAATTGATGCCAAACAAAGCAAAGTACTTCTTAATATAAGGCATAACTACATTATGAAACTCACCACCAGAAGATGGAAGGCCAATGGCATAGATGGTTTTAGTTGTTTCAGAGGCACAGATGGTAGATAGCAAGTGTATTAAATGCCTTTAGTCATGACTTGGGTCACAAAAGATAGATAGATGGATGGATAGATGGATGGATGGATGGATAGAAGGATAGAAGGAAAGAAAGAAGGAAAGAAAGAAGGAAAGAAAGAAAGAAAGAAAGAAAGGAAGGAAGGAAGGAAAGAAGGAAAGAAGGAAAGAAGGAAAGAAGGAAAGAAAGAAAGAAAGAAAGAAAGAAAGAAAGAAAGAAAGAAAAAGAAATGCTGCTGCTGCTGCAGTGGCGAAAACTGACCACTCCAGATGAAACATTCAGGAAACCACAGAGGATAGCCATCTACCATATGGCTTTGTCTGTGAGTTTTCCAGGGATAACAAATTGGCTGCAGTCAAAAACTGAAATATCATTTATTCTGATAAGACAATTGTTAAATTCTTATGGGATCAGTGTTCATCCCTCTCATGCTGCCTTATTATCAGATGAAATAAAGAAGAGCAAAAAGCATGCTGTTCTCCTACCAGGTTGCCCACAGTCAACACATTGTTGAACTCTTCAGTCATTGGGTAGTGTTCCATGGCCATGAAGACAGTGTTGAGGACAATGCAAATAGTGATCCCCAAATCAACAAAGGGGTCCATGACAATGAGCTTGAGAAACTCCTTCAGCATCACCCACGGTTTGCAACAGTTCCAAATAAGGAATGTGTGGGCAAACTTGTACCACCATGGTGGGCACTTCTGGCGAGCCTCTTCCAGTTCTGAAAATAATGATTAATAATAATTAAGAGGGACCTCTGCCACATTGACACTTTCACTACATTAAAATTACTCAATACTAAGTTTGCTAGCTGTAACAAATAAGCTGTAACAAATACAATGGTGCCTCGCTTAACAACGATAATCTGTTACAGGAAAATTGCTGTTAAGCGAAAACATCGTAAAGCAAAATTAAAAACCCCATTGAAACACACTGAAAACCGTTCAATGCATTCCAAAGGGGTAAAAACTCACCGTCCAGTGAAGATTCTCCATATGGTCGCCATTTTCAGTGCCTATATAGCAAGGAATCTGTGCCTAAGCACAGCGGGGAGCCATTTTAAGCACCCGGTGGCCATTTTGAAAACCCGACTATCAGCTGTTCTTGATCGTCGTAAAGCGAAAATCGGTTCCTGAAGCAGGGAACCGATCATTGCTAAGCGAAATTCCCCCATTTAGACTATCGTTGTAAAGTGGGTTCATCGTAATGCGGGGCAATCATTAAGCAGGGCACGACTGTAACTAAATGAAGAGTAGGAGTAAATGAAGATGCCACCCACCCATTTAGCAATAACACTAAGACAGAACTTTTGAAACCTAGCTATCCTGAGGCTGCACAGACACATTAAATTCCACTCCCCCCTTCTAAATTTAATGAAAACCTATTAAAATGCTTTCTTTTCCTTTCAAATGTTCTCAAACACCAACAAATATTTGTATCTTTGTAGAAGCTTTTGTAACTCTTACTTTCTAGAGCAATTTCAGAGCCAATTATAATATTAAATAAAATAAATGCTGCAAAGAACATACATTCACAAGTCAAAGAAGAATTTACCTTCCAAGGCATTGGAAACTACACTGAGTGCACTTTCTGCTCTCTTGTCCAGGCCTGTCCCTTCAAGGCTCCCCACGTGCAGCTTGTTTTGATCTGGCCTGTCATGTTCATCCACTGAATCCGACTGCAATAGGAAAACACCCAAGCTCAAAGAATGGTTCAGCATGAAGAATCTGTGACAGCATTCTCCCAGTGCTTTTTAGGTAAAAGCACTAAAGTGGTCTTGGAAGTCAGGAGTATATGGGAGGAGATCAATGCAGATGCCACTACATTGCTTTGGCAACAGAAAGGAACTTATTATAAAGCTGCTTATACCCCCTCTGCCATCTAAAGACTATGGCAGGTGAAGGGATATTCCTTTTTTTCCCCTCTAAAAACCTCAGAGCTAATAACTGGGCAGATCCTCCCTAAAAAGCTTTGTTTTCAAGAGCTTTTTAAAGGTGTAAAGGAAGGGTGCCAACTGGAACTCCTGCAGGAGAGCATTCCATAAGGTGGGTGCCACTGCTTAGAAAGCCCAGTTTCTAATTGATGTTTTCCAGGCTTCTTGAGGTGTTTACACCTACAGGCATGAGGTCTATGAGGACAGGTTTTCTTGAACTAACAGTTAAGGTATGCACTAATGTATCCATGTGCTGTATGAGGAGGTTTGACTTGTAGTCTGAAAATTTTTGAATTTGGGAAGGAGGGGGATTCTTTGGGAACACAACAAAGAAACAAGATTTCATCCTCTGTGTTTTGTTTAGATTCAACTGTTATAGCAAATCTCCATATGACCAACTGATGCATTTATCAGATTATGCTAGAGATGATGACAAGATGGAAAGGCTTGTGTTATATTTCCTTGGCATTTAGCTGTTAAACATGAGGAATGTTTCTAAAGAAAAATGTATGTCAACCTTAATAGAGCAATACAAAAGCTTGCCATTACAGGCTAAGTTTGATATGTCCTTCAAATATCTGTGGACAATAGACAACTGTATGAGCATTGTGAAACTACAGTGAGCTCATTTTCACCTTTTATGTGAATCGGTAGTACTTCTTGCTGTTTAGCACGAGGTACCAGGCTAGCTAATAGGAAGGCATTTAACCATAGAGCTCACTAAGGTAGTTTAACTTCCTACCCAGAGACATGATGTCCTACATTAGAAATTATAATCCTTTTTCACCGATTGTCCCAACTACTGCTTGTCCCATTTTTGAAGGCCACAACATAGGTTGGTGACCTCTGGCCTACAGAACTTGGAAGTCACATATTACAAGCAATGACATTACCAGTAATGTGTTGCTTTTGAGGGTGCATAATATTGCTTTTGAAAAATAACATTGCAATCAATAATAATATTACTTCCACCTCTTGTAACGAGTACTATTTATTTTTCACTTTTCCTCCTTATTTTTCGGACAAATGTGTGCTGTAGAGAGGACATCTAACTAGGTGGGGTTTTTCTTTTTCCAATTTCCGATTTCTTATTTTATTAGGTGGGTTTTCCCCCATCCCAAGAGGGCACTAAAAGTAACAGATAATCAAGAAGTGATCTAGCACATTGTTTGAGTATGGCATAAGGGTGGGGTGGTGGCTTCCTATCAAGTTGCATAACAAATTAATTTTAGAATTAATAGTCCAAGATTTGGCAACACCTGTCAAACTTTCTAGAACCATCATCACAATGCCAGTTTCAGCAGAACTGAGCCTATTTTTCAAGTATGGACTTTCCTCTTTCCTGGGAGTGTCAGAAAGGGCAGATTAATGACTAAATTGTCCTTTTTGTTCCTCCTCCAAGGACAATGCACCTCATCCACTGTGGCTGACCGCTCCAGCACCACACGCGGGACGACCTGCCCATTGCAGTCTTTTGGGCCGTCTTGATCACTGTGTGCTTCTTGATCGCTGTCCCCTTTTCCTTTCTTCTCCACTTTAATACTTTCTGCAGAGCTGCTGTTTGCTGCCTGCTCTTGAAGCTGCAGAGAAACCAGAAATTAGTTAGGAGTATTGCTTTGGACAGGACTCAGAATGTTCCATTTTCCCAAGCCTTTGGGGCTGGTGCTCCATCAAGTCAGTGTCCAAATTCTTTGTCTACTGCTCTGCTCACATGCTCTACCACCAGGGGACAAGATATCCCAAAACAACTCTCAAACATTTTCTAGAACCATTGCCATAAAGCCACTTTAGGCAGAACTAAACTGATTTTTCAAGTAAGGGTTAGGAGTATCAGGTGTTGGCTGTGGCCTCTCAGGAAGCACTGCAAAAGGAAGCTTCCAAAGACTATTGACATTAAAAGAAGCACATCCTTTTTCACTTTTGTTCTGAAAGTTTGACTCATTGTTTCTCTTACACATAATGAACCAAGAATCTCATTAGGGTATAATTGAGGAGATGGACCAGAAACTTAAGTGGCTGTAAGTGTGACACCCATAATACTGTAGCATGTCTGTTGTTAATATAGAAACTTCTGTCTCTATGATTCTGCCCATTAGACTGAAATATTGGAAGAGGTAATCAGCCCTAGCAACTATAACACGAAGCATTACACAATATCCCAGAAGGTTTAAAGATCTTTGCATACATTATCTCAGTAATCCTTATAACAGCCCTGCTAGATAGAACGCTATTATTTTTTTTCTGATTTCTTTAATTTCTTTAAATTGGAAAATAAGGATTTAGCAGGGGGAGAAGAAACACAGAAACTATGAAGTAAAAATAAAAGTTGGAAGGAAGGAAGGAAGGAAGGAAGGAAGGAAGGAGGGAAGGAAGGAAGGAAGGAAGGAGGGAAGGAAGGAAA